GTCCCATCTGCATAACAATATTTAACCCTGGAAACAAAGCATACCCGAGGAATAAAAATGGCAGCAGCAGATCGACCTCGTGAGAAGGAGCTTCTGAAATCGCCTTTCTAGAAACTTGACTGAATCAAAAATCACTACAGGCCGGTAGCGTCACGTCTTTTAGTTAGACGATGGTTTTCGCCTTTACCCACTTTTTACCTTTCGGATTAACGAGATAACCGAGTGAGATAACAGCGCGGCTTATTAGAGCCACGTAGAAAGCTCAAAGAAAGTAAGATTCAAGGGGAAACAACCCTGTTAAGTGTCACGAGGCGAATGCTGTGTCGTAAAGGCTCGTGCGCAATGCACGAGGTGCGTGATGCTCCGGCTGGCATGTCGCGGCGCAATAACCCTAAATATTAACACGGTCTTATGTAGGCAAATTACAGTCGCATTAGGTCCCATTTCCAAGAAAATATTGAATTTCCCGTATCGACTCGGAATTGTCGTGTTTCGCTAACATGGAAATGCAACCCTTAATGATGCAGGTATTTAAGAAATTTTTATCCATGCTGCTGCTGCACCCTAGAAAATAATAACAGCAGCATCGAAACGTCCTCGACGAGATACTCTTCTCCTAGCTTCATTGTCGAACGTTAAAATTGTATTGGAGCTGCGTTCTCAAAGTCGAGTAAAAGAAATGCCAGTCCGGTATTAACGTACGCCAGTAGCAAAAGGCCGCTCCGAAACAGCCACGTGTGATGGAACACACATCGCTTTACTTTAGTATTGCCTTTCCAACCAGGCAATTTCGTTCGATTTGTAAGCGCGGTTTTATGACGCGATGAACACTTTTAATTCAATATCGTTTGGCTGCTGTTGCCGTCGATGCGTTTCGACGCCAAATCCGATAAATTTCGCTTCGTATTCCGAGGCAAGCCGACAGTAGTTGGCGGCGGTGCGAGTGCCGTTTCTACTTGGAGTATTGGTGGAAAGGCGAAAGGCGGGGTGGTACGTAGGGGAACCAGTGGTAGCGTCGGTTTTACAGTCAGACCGCAGTAGTACGTCATGATAGCGTCAGCCGCAGCTACGTGCGCGACTAAGATATGTCTGACTACATATCGTTATTTCTCCTGAAATCTGTTGAGCTACACTGTACGTATATAGCGAACCCTAACTCGGGTAGGCAGTCCTTGGCCGTGGTGCATGTAAAAGTATTTAGGGTTAGGAGGGTGGACCAAAAGGGCAAATCGAGTCGATCTAGTTTAGGACTTGAAAATTGAGAAGGAAACGAATAGCGATCTTTAACGATTACGTATCGGCGATGGTAAGGTTAGTTTCCTTTTTAATGCATAAACTTTGTATTATTTTAATTTGTCAAAGAACCACCCCTTCCGGGGATTTTACTCGCGCGCCGTTTGCATCAAAGAATTCTTACGCTTCGAACTTCCCGAACCCCCTACAAAGTATATTTGCTCGTTTCATCCAAGAGGGTTGTATTTCGTCGCTACAGCCCCTGGAACGACGAACCGACTGTCGCTTTAACCCTAAAGGATTTTCTTTTGGCCCACCAAGCTCGCAGGGAACTTCGATTCCTTTGATCGTCAAATTGATTTAATCGCAGTTCGATTTACGCGTGATTCTCCATCCCTTATGTCGACGGGGCTCCGAGGGGTGGTATTTCCAACGGGTATGCGCGAACGTGTAGCACTTTTCAAAGGGCCCCACGTACGCGAGACGCGTTAAATAGACTGACGATTCGATCCTGAAAAATCTAATATACATTCTGATAATCGAGTTTACGTCGCTCGATGCGAACCAGCCGTTTTGCAGTCGCGGCCTGAACTTTCCTCAGGGACTATTCCAAAAGATCCAAGGTGAATTTTTAAGGGAGGAAACTGTAGATAGATAGAGGCTTTCGGCGATGACGGGATCTACATACTATAAGGGGTGAAACCCAAAGCACACTTTTATTTACACAGACACGGATACACGTGGACGGGGATGTTTTCTCGGTCAGCCAATCCACGACTGGCAAAACCTTAGGGTTCGAATCCCAATGAAAGCCAAATGCGATTCCGGAGAAAAGACGACGTCGAAAGCGGCACTTAGCCTCCTGTCTTCGGAGCGTCGCGCATCTAGAGAGCGTCGCGACGCCAGTAGGTATACCTGCTAGGGTAAGACGCAAGGAGGGTAGTGGCTGACATAACTTGGTAGACGTCAAACGGGGGAAGAAAAAGGGGGGAGGAAGAAAAAATGGCGCACCATGTGTGCAGCCGTATACATTTATTCGATTGTTATTTACCCTTTGGCCGTAGGACATGTATCATTTTTACGAGCTGAATCGAGAAGGGAGGGAATCGCATGAAATATTGGAAAACGAGGTAGCCGGCAGATAAAACGTTTCATAAAACAGACATCGATTCTGTATTACCGACCGGAAGCCTTCTATCGCAAGAAACCAAAACCTTGGGTACACCGTATACCTGTATAGTATGTGCAAAATACGTATTGTATATACTCGTACTGTAGCTGGAGAAATACCGTGCTATGGGTATGTGCCGCGGAGGGAAGTAAATATCACATACTTTTAGCGGTTCGTATATAAAGGAAGAATATCCGAGTCTGATCGTAACGTGCCTTTTTCTACTTAAGGCAAAGAGAAAAGTGAGCAAGTATAATTTGTGAAAATGGACTGAACAATGTATTGACCAATGGCGTGCGCGCAAATAACTTATGTAACGGGGGTACAAGATTAAAAGAGAAAAAACTGAAGAAGATCGATACGAATCCACGAGGGTAGTATCGGGGGTGCAGAAAACGAACTACCCCTTCCACCCGACCCCCCTACTGATACAATTGGCTGCCATATTCATCGGCAGCTTTGGCGGTGGACGAGAACGAAGGTAACTCGCCTGGAGGGATAAAAACGGCGGAACTGGAACCGATAATTGGGAATAGCTGTGTAAAATGGACGATAAGAGGGTATTTGAACCCCCGTCAGAGAGCGGCTCCACTATTACCCACAGCCACCTGAACAAGCACGGCGTCACTATGTAAAAAGAAAAGGGGTGGTTATACACACAGCTGTAGTCTTTTTGAGCATCGACCTCGAGAATGGTTATTTTTACAACGAAACGAAAAGGGGTGAAAAAATCGTAAAGCCCTTACGAGAGGGTTTGATAAAAGTAAAATCCCAGATTGCCAAAGGGCTGATAATGCAAATCGTTCAAAGTCGCCAAGTCATACCGGACTGAATTTACGTAGTCTTCGGCAATTCCTTCGAACGGGATAAATTTCCCTGATCACCCAATTTTCGCAATTGCATAACCCAGCCAAGAAAACATCCCCCAACGGCGCACCCTCCCCACCCCGGACTTACGTCAGGGGGATGAAATGTCACGAAAGAAAGCCAATAATAATAAAATGCAACGATAATGATAACCTAGACAAGCTTCAGCCCCGATACTCGCAGATCTGCGAGATTTTCGCCAGCCGCGGATGCTGCGTTTTCTTTCCCATTTTTTACATCCTCTTTCCAACCCCCCGCTCCCCCCTCCTTTCTATTCACGATGCCTCTCCATAACTTCGCACTGCGATTCCTCAAAGTCTTTCGCTATTTTTTAATTCTCTTACACCGGCACCTCCGCCTCATCAATCTCACCCCTCCACCACCCCCCTTTCCTCTCGTTACTCTCATCCCCCTCGTTCGTCCGATCATTTATCCCTGGTGCCGGAACGTTCCGAAATCGTTGCCTCGTCTGCGTTCGAGAGTAACGTCCACCCCTTCGCCCCCCCCCACCCTCATCCCAATAACTACCCTACTATACCAACGCGGCTTTTACGGGACGATTTTTGCAAATTATGAATATTTAATATTTCACTCTTTTCTTTCCCCTACGAGAGAGTGCCCGACAACTTCCCCACCCTTTCGCCATTACTCTTAGGGGTGGGTTGTCGCTACTCCTCTCCATTTCACCCAGGAGAATCCAACCCCTTCTACGGCCTGATAAAAGCCAACTCCCTCTTTACACCCCCCCCCCC